CTTTTCCAGGTCATCTGTGTGGGGCAGATTATTGGTGCCATTGTCGCTGAGACCAGAGAACAAGCCAAAAGAGCAGCCGAGCAGGTGGCCATTACTTACCAGGACATCCAACCTATCTTTTTCACTATAGAGGTATTTCTAAACAAATTTACATTAATAAAACATTTAATGGAGTGCTACATGAAAGTTTGGGAGCAGCACTTTATCCTGCTAATCACAACATCTTTGTTTTTATTAAGGAGGCCATAGAACACCAGTCCTTTTTTGACCCCAAGAGAAAACTGGAAAGAGGAAATGTCGAAGAAGCATTTGAGAAAGCTGACCACATACTGGAGGGTTTGTACAATTAAATATGAATCCTTAATTTGAATCAGATTCAACTCTGAATCTCTTTATATAGAAATCTTTTTTTAAACCGTTATTTGGGTTTTTTCTCGATTCAATGTGAATAATCATTCTTTTATATCTCACAGGTGAGCTGTATATGGGTGGCCAGGAACATTTCTACATGGAAACTCAGGGATTGATTGCGATTCCTAAGGGAGAAGCAAGTGAAATGGAGCTCTTTGTTGCCAGTCAGCATGCAGCTTATACTCAGGTTTGTATTACCCCAATGACATACATTGATGAATATGAATCAATAAGGATATTCATATTTTACCCCAATGACATACGTTGATGAATATGATACAATATAAATTTATTCATATTTTTATGTAAATCTGCTGAAATAATTCAAAATAACTTAAAAATAGGAGATTATGAATACAAAATAACAATGATATATTTACATAATCTTACTCCAGTATTGGCATAATTTCCTTTTCTAAACAACAGGAAGTGGTGGGTATCACTCTTGGAATTGACTCCAATAAGATCACATGTCATGTGAAGAGGCTGGGAGGTGGATTTGGTGGTAAAGTCATGAAGATTGCATCATTATCTGCCATCGCTGCTACGGCCGCTTACAAGTATGGCAAAATGAAAGACTTTCTTCTTTTCATTTGCATATCTATTTGCTTTTATTGCTTATATTTAAGTATATTGTTTACTTATTTGTGTGAAATTTAAAGAAAATATGTTATAAAAGCAGATTTTAAAACAATGCTGATGCTAAGTATTGACTAAAATCGATCCACAGGACTGGCCGTGCTGTGCGATGTGTTCTAGAACGTGGAGATGACATGCTCATCACCAGTGGCAGGTCCCCTTTCTTGGGGAAGTACAAGGTCATTTGGCATTATGGGTAATAGTATTTTTGACATCACTGGGCAACTGTACATCACAACAGCTTAAGTCCCATCTTTTTCCTACAGGTTGGATACATGAATGATGGAACAATCCTGGCTGCTGATATTACATACTACAGTAATGGAGGATGCACTCTGGACGAATCCTCTTTTGTATGTTGGTTTTTATAAACAGGCAATCCCTGATGAAATATTGAAATTCAAATAAGTCAGTCCTGTAAAGGAGCTGTGAGCAAGGCTTGCAAAGAGAGACACTATCATGGATCTAAGTTTACCTTGAATTCTTATGTAGGTCAGTCTCCAAGTCACATACTGTTTCCTTTTGTAATTTCCGACCAGATCATGGAGAAAGCGCTTCTTCACATGGATAATGGTTACAAGATCCCTCATCTACGTGGACGTGGACTGGTGTGCAAGACCTACTTACCCTCATATACAGCATTCCGTGGCTTTGGTGGACCTCAGGGTTTGACCATCATCGAAAGCGTGCTACACGAGGTGGCTGTCAAGTGTGGCTTGCCTACACATCAGGTGGGACCTTTATGAAAACAGAACAAGTTGGCTGAACATACGTCAAACAGTGTTTTAATGGTTTGAAATTTGAGCTGATAACCAAAAGATTGTATGTTTAAGTGTTGATTCAAGATGTTATTGAGGTTGCTGAGTTGTTGAGAAGTGTCAGTTTTTGCTATCATAAATTTGCTGAAGTGAGATTATTTTGGTGTGTTAAAACTTGACGGGCCTTCTGCTCAACTCTCTGAAAATAAAATAAAAAAATCATAATTTACAGGTGAGAGACATCAACTTGTACAAGGACGAGAAATGCTACACCCACCACAAGCAGCTCTTTTCCCCCCATGACATGGTGCGGTGCTGGAACGAGTGTCTAGAAAAATCCGACTATACCCATCGATGCCTGTTCATTGAGCAGTTTAACGCCCACAACCACTGGAAGAAGCGAGGGATCTCCATTGTCCCACTGAAGTTTGGAATCGGATTCTCCAAGGGCTTCTATAACCAGGTTGGTGAAAACTTGTGAGATTGCACATACAATGGTGCATTTTGGTTTGAAGCTTCACACGACCACTTTAAAAGTTTTAACTTGGTATTAGTAAAGACTACTAATAAGAATTCAAAATCTATTCTCTTCAGGGAGCAGCATTGGTGAACATCTACAAAGATGGATCGGTTCTCATTTCTCATGGGGGAACCGAGATGGGTCAAGGTATCAACACCAAAGCCATACAGGTACGATGAGTCTCAGTGTCAAACAATGGATCCAAATACATACATCACATGAAATATGCCAGTTGTAACAATGTCTATCTTCGACAAATTGCAGATTGCCAGTCGCATTTTGAAGGTTCCAATGTCTTCGATCCACATCAAGGAGACCTGCACAGGAAACGTGCCCAATGCTGCACCATCCGCTGCATCCTTTGGCACGGATGCTGTCGGGATGGCGGTCAAGGTATAGTGACAGTCATCCATTTACTTTTTTTTTTTTTTTTTTTCACAACTGAAATTGTAATATTTTTCATGTAGAATGGTTGTGAGAAACTAATGAGACGTCTGGAGCCACTCATTAAGAAACACACCCAATACACCTGGCAGCAACTGGTTAGTAAGAGTGATATCCAAATACTCAATCGTATAATACAAAGTGAATTAAAGATAGTACAGTGAGAGCCAAAGGAGAATCACTTACTGTACCTACTATGTTTCCAGGTGGTGGAAGCATATTGCCAGAAGATCAGTTTGTCAGCAACAGGTTTCTTCATGTAAGTGTTCGACCGTGATGTAGCATAATGAAGCCGCATGGTAAAATGTTTGAGCATCCAACAAAATATTTGTTCGTGATATTTTGATAGTTGATTAAATGTAGTAGCCTAAATATAAAATAAATTATATACTTCTAACAGGGGCCCACACACCAGTGTTGACTGGGAGAAGAGTGAGGGCAGCGCATACTATTACTTTACTTTCGGTGCCTGTTGCTCAGAGGTGGAAATTGACTGCTTGACAGGAGATCACAAGGTACTTGTCTTTTTTATTCATCTACATTTATAAAATTAAATAATTAATTAAAACACTATTATAATTTGGCTATGGAATGCATTCTGATACATGTTATAATACAGATTTATAAGCAGTTATTTGTATGTCATTAGCCTAGATTCTAATGCTGCAATTTATCAGGTTATGTGTGCATACATTCACAATATTGAATATCAAAATTTTGTGGGCTGTGAAATTATATTTTACAGAACATTAGGACTGATATTGTGATGGATGTTGGTCGGAGCATAAACCCTGCTCTGGATGTTGGACAGGTACGAAAGATATGTTATTGCATTATATATATGTATATATATATATATATATATATATATATATATATATATATAATGCAATAACACATATATATATGTGTGTGTGTGTGTGTGTGTGTATGTGAATAATATTTCTATAATAAAATATTGGTTGTATTATTTGGCAAATTAGTCACCATACTGTTAGTAAATCTGTGTGTGTTTACAGGTTGAGGGGGGTTTCGTCCAGGGAATTGGGCTCTACACTATAGAAGAGCTGAATTTTTCCCCTGAGGGCGTGTTGTTGACCAGGGGTCCCTCTCAATATAAAATCCCAGCTCTGTGTGACGTCCCTCCTCAACTAAACGTGCATCTGCTGAGCAACGCAGAAAATCCTCACGCCATATACTCTTCAAAGGTAAGACAAAACCCCCCTGAATGTCAACACAATATGTTGTTGAGACAAAATAAGAAAGTTGTTTAAGTAAACTGGAAAATAATTAGTAATATTTACCTCTCAGTGATAATTGTAGACAAAACAAACACCAAAAGTTGTGTCTAGGCTTCTGTGATGGCAAAACTCGTCAGGTCAGGCTGCGGTTCACAGCAGACTTCAATCATTTAAGCAGATAAAACAACGTTTGCAACCTACTTTACTTCCGTAGTCTGACATACTTCCGAGCAAAGCAGGATATTTATGCACAGTGGAAATTTTAATTAATGTTGAAATATTGGCTGAAAAGGTTGTTTTAAAATGTTTAGGGGATCGGGGAGCCTCCTGTGTTTTTCGGCTGCACTTTGTTCTTCGCCATTAAAGAAGCGATTGCGGCTGCACGGAGGGAGAGAGGCCTGAGCGACAGTTTTCCTTTCTCTTCTCCTGCTACTGCAGAAAAAATACGCATGGCCTGTGAAGACTGCTTTACCAGGATGGTGGGTGTGAATAAATTCATATGAAATATATATATATATATATATATATATATGTTACCTATGTATAATATATAACCTACCTATATATAATAATAATATTATATAATTTACTTTATACGATCATTTTTATTATCTAATACATTTAATATATATTATTATATATTATTTCAGGTTTAGGTTTTCGCTCTTGATAATAATCTTAAATATCACCTTTGTTTTTGTTTTTTTACAGAATCCACTGGACAAGAAAGTAAAAATCAAACCCTGGGCTATTAATGTGTGAAGAAAAACTTATCCAAATTCAAACGTTTTAATGCCTCACCTAAACAAGATGTAACTTCCTTTTCATTGTTGGAGACTTTGAGCTCATAAATTGTTTATCAAATCAAACTATTAACCTTAGATGACATGTCAGGGACTATATCTTCTAGCGTCCATGATATTTTAATTGTGCAGTTATTGTTTTATAAAAGCAATAAGTAACTTGCTTAAATAATCAATAGTAGGATGAGAAATAATGTAATTCACATTTATTAAACTTGTCAAGCTGTCAAAGAAATCATAAATGTTAAGTGTGTTAATAATAAACATAACTATAAATTGGTCTTGAGACGTGATTGCATGCAGAGCATCTTTTGTCTGTTTTTTTGCTTTAGAAGATTAGTTTCGGCAAGCAGCTGATAATAGTTGGATGTTAAATCAGGCGACTGTGAAATCATAAAATGTCATGTGATTTGATAAGAGCAACACAACAGCTTTGAGTGAGATAAAAATGTAATAATAGGATGATGATGTTGTTTTCATATGTCCAGAGCCCATGGCTGAGCTGGTCCAGAAGTTGATCCAGCTTCACTTTGTGCAACCTACCAAAAACAAAATTATATTAATTTTATTCAGGTTTAAACCATATTTATCTTTAAGGATTTGTTTAATATAGATTTGGACACTTGAGCATGAATGGGTTACTGTAATTCTCATACCATCTTTGTGAAGTGTGTGGCACAGGCCAGACATGCCCGCTCTGGGGTGGCAGGGCTGTTTAGCTGGAAGGGGCCGGTTAAACCTGCATCATTTCGGGCTGCAGTCACAGCGTCTTTAATAGCAAAGAATACAGAACTGCCAAGGAACAATGTCGGTTCTCCGATCCCCTAAAACAAGTGGGAAAGTGCACCACAATCAGAAAGCTTCAGTTTGCAATGATGTCACATCTAGATCAGATCTAGAAAAGCAAAACAAAACAAAAAAAACCCACTAAAAATTGGTACGAAGTCACACAAAAATCTAAAATAGGGTTCTGGATCAGGTTTGAATGCACTTAGACGGGAAGGAAGTGAACCACAATGGTTCCACAAAATCAAAATAAATTGACTTTGAAGCGAACCTGGGAAGTACATACATCCGTAATAAGGAGAAGATGAGTGAGAGTGAATTACCTTTGATGAATAGATGGCACGAGGGTTGGTTGAGCCGGCTAAAAGATAGACATTAAACTTCAGAGGGACGTCACAAAAAGCCGGGATCTTGTACTGGCCTGGTCCACGTGTGTACAGAACACCAGATGGAGAAAACTTGAGCTCCTCCATGGTGTAGAGACCCAGACCCTGCATGAACGCTCCCTCAATCTAACACACATACATATTATATGAATAAATACATATATACGTATATTGTAGGATAGTCTCTTCTGCTCACCAAGGCTGCTTTTATTTGATCAAGAATACAGTAAAAACAGTAGAATAGTGAAATTTTACAATTTAAAATAGCTGTTTTCTATTTATATATATATATATTTTAAAATGTAATTCATTCCTGCAATGGCAAAGCTGAAATTTTTTAAGCATCATTACTCCAGTCTTCAGTGTCACATGATCCTTCAGAAATCATTCTTATATGATGATTTGATGCTCAACAAACATTTCTTCTTATTAACAATGTTTAAAACAGCTTCATATATTTGTGGAAACTTGGATTTAAAAACAAAACAAAAAAAGAACTTTGAACAGCGTATATGGGTAATTTGCCTATATATAGAGTATAATATAATATATAAATGAGGCATACAAAATTATTAAAATGTTTAAATTTGAAAAGACTGATGATAATTATGAACTTAACTAATACAATTATTAAAAAATATTTATGTATTGGACCTGACACAAGGGGGAGCTAACACTTCTTTTATTCTGGTACAGTTACTGGACAATAGTGGTTAATCTAAAAAAAAAAATGATTGGTTCATCAATATTCCTAATTAATCAGATATATCTTTTAACCACTGATTTTTAAATTATATATTTCGGTATTTAATAAAGGTTCATTTCTACTAAGCGAGGGAACATCATAGAGAGCATCTTACCTGACCAATGTCAATGGACGGATTTATACTTCTGCCAATATCAACAACAATATCCGTCCTCAAGGTCTATGAGGAAAAGATGCAGTATGTCAGATTCATTTTACACTGATTAAACAATGTATATGAAAAATGCCCTACATTTTCTGCATCATATCTGCATTTACCCTGTACTCTCCGGTCAAACAGTCCAGCTCAACCTCACTGCAGCACACGGCATACGTGAAGTAAGCGTACGGATTGCCTTCCTGCTTCTCCCAGTCCATGCCTAGATCATGACCTCTGAAAACAGACAAAACGCGGCTAAAGCATCAAACAAAACCTCCATGTTTTGTCTAGTTTTAAGCCTTTGTTCTAGTCTTTGATGATGCACTGAAGATCACACTGTTGAAAAACACTCTCAGCTAGCACTTTTATGTCTCAAAGTACATTTAGAAAACAAAAACACTCCTTTTAAAGGACATTTGGATTATTTACCTGTAGAATCCTGTGGCTGACAGACTGATCTTCTCCAAAAATGCCGTCATTATCTTTAAAGACATCATTTAAAGCAAATGAATAAAAAAATAAAATACATAAAATATAAAAAACGAGTGATGGCAATAAAATAATAATAAAGCAATAAAAAAAGTAACATGGTAAAGTCCCTGTACCCATGACTTTGAATGGCTTATTGCTTTTACATAACCGCAGCAACAGTAATATGATAAAATACACCAAGTAAATAAATAGTCATTAAATAATAAATCACAATGAAAACATCTTCCACCAAATAATATAGTTCATTAACCGTAAATGATATTATGTATAAATATAGATGAAAGTATAGATTTAGGTAACAGGTTATTTCACAACGGCTTTGAACGTGGCTGATTCAATCAGGTTTTAAAGTCCGAACTATCCATACAGTATATTGTAGAATTAATTACTGTACCCATCCTTTTTATTTTGCATCAAAAACGAGAAATTTGAATAGTTTGTCAACTTTACCCAGTTCTGCCATGTTCCCTCAGGATCCTTCTTTCTGATTGGCTCTAGTCTTTTGTACAGTATTTGACAGGCATCCTGCAAAAAAAGGATTTTAACAATCCTAAAACAGACATTAAAAGCATAAAAAGGCCAAACAATCAAAATGCATACATTTAATGATTTCTTCAAAACCTCTTATAGACAGAAGACATAAATCCTTCAAGATAAATGATGTTGTCCAATCTGATCTTGTGCTTCAAAATCTGGTTTTCGATATACCTGCACAGCCATTCCGTTGGCGTCGGTACCGAAGGACGCAGCAGACGGGCAGGTATTCGGGACACACTGTGTGCTGGTTTCAGAGATGTGGATCAAAGAAGCAGGAATATTCAGCTCTCGACTCACCACCTGTGAGAAAACATGAGGTCAGCCCAAAAACTCTGAAATGGTTGCAGATCTGTGCAGAAAGCAGGACGTGGTACCTGTTGGACTTTAGTGTGTATGCCTTGACCCATTTCCGCCCCACCGTGGCTCACTAGCACAGATCCATCCTTATAAATATGCACGAGAGCTGCAGCCTTTGTAATACACACACACACACACACCAAAAGATCATTTGGAGTTCATTTAAAATAATTTAAAAGTCTCAGCAGCATGTTTTAGGTCACAGTAACCTGGTTGAGGAAGCCCTCTGCAAACCCAATGCCATATTTAATGGGTATTATGGCAATTCCTCTCTTTTTGTACTGGTTCTGCTGGTTAAAGAGAACGATGGCCTGCCGTCTCTGACCGAAGGCAGCTTTTTCCATACACTCGTTCCAGCAGAGGACGAGATTCTTTGGGTCAAACTCCATCTTGTAGTGAGTGAGGGAAACTTCCTTGTACATGTTTATCTCCCTGATCTGCAACAATAAAATAATGAAAGATTAACAATAAATAAATAGATAAATATTAGTTTCCATATCAGCAAAGGCTATATTCGTGACAACCAATAAATAAATGAATACATACATATTTATTACTATATCATCATCAAAGGCTAAATTAATGACAATAAACAAATACATATTCATTTCCATAACAGCAAAGACTATATTCATGAAAATAAATAAATATGTATGTATGTATGTATGCATGAATTACTGACTGTATGAGCAAAGACTATATTCATGACAATCAATCAATAAATAAATATGTATGTATGCATGAATTACTGACTGTATCAGCAAAGACTATATTCATGACAATCAATCAATAAATAAATATGAATATTCATATCAGCAAAGCATATGTTCATGACAATAAATAAATATTAATTTCCATATCAGCAAAGACTATATTCATGACACTAAATGAAATAAATAGTGCTGTATCAGCATAAAAAGGCTAAATTAATGACAATAAATCGATCAATCAATAAATGTTAATTAATTTCCATATCAAGAGACTATATTCATGACAATAAATAAATCAGTAAATATTAATTTCCATATCAGCAAAGACTATATTCATGATAATAAATATACATTTTCATTATCAGTAAAGACTATATTCATGAAAAAAAAAAATATATATATATATATATATATATATATATATTTCCATTTTGGCAAAGACTATATTCATGACAACAAATAAATATAAATTAATTTTCATATCAGTAAGGATATAGTCCATGACAATAAATAAAATAAATATTGTCGTATCAGCATAAAAAGGTTAAATTAGTGATAATGAATCAATAAATAAATGTCAATTGTCATATCAACAAAGGCTATATTCATGACAATGAATCAATCAATAAATAAATAAATAATTCAATAAATAATCATTGCCGTATTGCAAATGCTATGTTCATGCCACTAACTAAATAACTAACGGTTTAAACAAATAAATATATGTTCATTACCATATAAGCATCAAAGTTTATGTTTATGACACATTTAAAGTTGACAAATAAAAAAAAATATATATATATATAAAAAAAAGAATTCATTGCTATTTCAGCAAATGCTATATTAATAACAATAAATAAATAAATGAATAAATGGATAAAAAAGCATTGCCACAATCAACATCAAAGGCTATTTTCATACCAGTAAACAAATAAATACAAATTCATTACCATATCAGCATCAAAGGCTATAATTATGACCATACATCCATACATACACGGCACGCATCAATAAATACCAGATGGTATCAAAATTAAAGGATATTTTCATGCCGTAAATAAATGATGAATAAATGATTAATGATGAAATATATTTAAATGACATATAAATATTTGAAAAAGTGCCAAATGTACAGTACAGTATATTCCCAATATATTAAAACCAACAGTTCATTAGCTCGATCAATAGTAATATATGAAGTATAATGATGTAACCAGGCCAAAAGCAAAACATCGTTTTGTTACTGCATGGCACCAACCTCTTCAGGTAGACGGCCGAGTTTAAGAGCAACATCATCGATCATACTCTCAATGACCAGCATGCACTGGGGCACACCGAACCCTCGGAATGCAGTATTGGAGGGCAGGTTGGTCTTGCAGGCCGCCGATCGCCCACGCAAGTTTAGAATATTATAGGCGTTATCGAGATGTAGGAGGATCTTCTCGGCGACCTGGCAGAGTGAAATATAAGAATAATGATACTGTACAAATTCTGTAATATATGTTCTCCAATGTTTTTTCCCAAAGGTGTCTGCAGTGACCCTGAACATGTAGCTTCCACTATTAAGGCACTTAAGCAGGAAGTGATCTCACCAGTACGGACTCATCTGCTGTGTTTCCGGCGTTGGCGTAGTACTGGAAATCGGCTGCTGTTATCCTCCCGGTATTCATAAATCCCACCTGTTGGAGTCAAAGTCAGAAACATGCCAACATATAAGTAAATTACATAAATAAATAGTAGCTAATAAATATACTAATAACAGCTAAAACACATTCACAGTCGTTTTTTAAAATAAGTGTTAGGAAAACCACTAGCCTTATATTTTCCCCACACCGGGTGACGCCCTCCGGTTATCAGCATGTCCTCTCCTCTCTCTAAAACACATCGTACTGGCCGTCCAGTTCTGGGGAGATAGAGTTATACTTGCCAAACTCCTACACATCAAAATTATTAATATGGTAAAAAATAATATATATATATATATATATAATGAATTAATATTTAATATCTAATTTAAATAAAATCTTGTGAATCTTTCATTCTGATGTTTGGGGTCCGACTTATTTCGACTCACTTCCAAGCAGCAACAGCAGTGATGGAGGCCAAAATGGCAGTTTTGGTGACCTTGCCTCCGAAAGCTCCGCCCAGTCGCTTAATGTGACAAGAAATGCGATTGGACGGGATTCCCAACGTCTCAGCTACCGAGTCCTACAACAAATTGGAACAAACATACTTTCTTGTACATGTTTATCTCCCTGGTTTGCAAAAATAAAGTAAAATAAAATAAAAATGTAATAAAATATGTAAAACATATATAATAAAAGGAAATAAACAAAAAAATAAATAAATAAAGTTTCAGCTACTGACTCCTACAACGAAAAGGGGGGGGGGGGAAGCTACATGCAAATCTCCCTGATCCAAATCTCCTCCTCCTTTTGCAAAAATAAAGTAAAATAAAATCTAATTAATAAAATAATATTAAATAAAATAAAATATAAGACAAAATAAATAAAAAGTCTCCACTACTGTACTATACTTTCTTGTGCATGTTTATCGCCATGATCTGCGAAAATAAAACAAATATGTAATATAATATAGACTGTTAAATGTATAATATAATACGCACAGAAAATTTGTCACACGAGTTTTGTCTCATCTGAACATGACGCATTAAGAGCCGGGGCGTGAAAACTTTTTGAGTTTGAAGATGAAGGTAAAATGTACTTAATTTGACTTCTGGGAAACACGTAAGTATCTTCTGTTGCTTCCGAAGGACAGTACTAAATTAAAAACAATTATATTCAAACAAAATAAGAAAAATTTGGACATCTTCAACCTGTTCAAAAGTTTTCACCCCCGGCTCTTAATGCATCGTGTTTCTTTCAGGAGTATCAGTGAATGTTTGAACTTTTTTTTTTTTTTTTTGTGTTTGAGTCCCTCAATTATCCTCAGTGTGAAAAGACGGATCTCAAAATCATTCGGTCACTGCTGGAAAGGGTTCAAATATGCAAAAGATGCTGGAAGACTGAAGAATTTTGAACATTGGGCGGTTTAACTGCTCAGGACAAACAAGGGACTCAAGAACAATCATAACAAAACAAAAAAAAGTCATGGATCATCCAGGTAACAATACACAGTATTAAGAATCAAGGGTACACAAACTTTTGAACTTTTTCATTGTTATAAATTCAGCTATTTCTTTTCAGCTATTATATTACAAAATATAAAATAAAATATAAAACAAAATAAAGTCTCAGCTACTGACTTAATCATAACATAATGACATAAACATTTCTATATGTAACTGATCATAATAACATACTTGTGTAAATGTAGGATGCTGAGTGGACAAATAAACTTTCATCTCCTTCTCTTCCCCAACTGGAATGACCAGAAAACTCTGTGTTTCCATGTAGAAATGCTCCTGTCCTCCGATCCGAATCTCTCCTATGAAACATGAAGCAACATGTTATAAAACATAAATCAGGTGATCAGAGAGGTAGTGTGCTTGATCATGGATCTAACCTTCATACACCTTTTCGGCCTCTCTCAAAGCCTTTTCCACATCTCCTCGCTCAATCTGTCTTTTAGGAAGAAAGAAAGACTCTTTCTCGATGGCCTCCTGAAACCAAGAAGATCCAAGAGCAGCTCTTTAAGAATGGATCTTGTTAAAACGGGAATAAAAATGAGCAGATTATTTCTTCTCACCTCCACTGTGAAGATGCGATCCTGCAGATCTTCATATCCGATCTTCACAGCTGCCGCCCCACGTTTAGCATGAGCTTTGGAATCTGCGACCACAGCACAAACCATCTGACCCACACATGTCACCTGAGGACACAAAGGAGAAGAAGATTGGAGAAGAATTACATTTTTTATGTAATTAAAATTCAAAGAAATGCCTTACATAAAAAAATAATAATACACAGACCTCATCTTCAGCCAGCAGTTCTTCATCAATGCCATTTTTCCCTGGTATGTCTTTGGCTGTGATCACATCCACCACACCGGAAAGCTTTAGAGCTTCACTAAAGTCAATATGACTGTGACAATACAATCATTTAGATGTGAAGGTACTCATTTTTATTCAAATATCCATTGTCATCTCAGTTTCAAAGGCAATTTTTTTTACCATAACTTATGGCAGTTAGCATGAGATTATATCATTAGTTGATAGCTGATGCTCAAGTCGCTATGATGAATGAATGAATGTTAATTTCCATATCAGCAAATTAAATTGATTCAAACTCATTCAAAATAATAATAAAAAAAAAATATATATATATATACCATTGCCAATATATATATATATATATCAGCTTCAAAGGCTATATTTATGTCAATAAATAATTAAATATTTATTGCATATCAGCTTCAAAGGCTATACTTATGTCAATAAATAATTAAATATTCATTGCGATACTAGAATAAAAGGCTATATTTATGACAATATATAAATAAATAAATAAACATTCTTTGCCATTTCAGCTTCAAAGACTATATTTAAGACAATAAATTAATTCGCTGATTATATTAATTAATTCATTCAAATGATTGTACACATAGATTTCTAACAGTTTTTAAGTTAAAACTGTCAAACTGTCTGCATGCATCTTACGTGATTTTGGCATGTGGTCTGGAGCTTGTCACGATTGTGAGGAAAAGTTCACCATCGGTGTGTGGTAGGTCATCACAGTACACGGCCTCTCCAGTAGCCTGACTCAGCGCCGACCGGTGCATCATGGGTCGGCCCACAGGATCTTGAGCTGGCTGATTCTCCAAGACATTCTGTACACATAAAACACACAAAGTCCGTTGTTCATCTTCTATAAGTTCAGTGCTTTTGCTTTTTGTGGACTTTTAATAGAAAAAAGTGAACAGATAATACAATAAATGATGTGTAGAGAAAGGAAACAGAAACAGGAAAGTTGCAAGCTGGATTCGAACACAAATTTCCCATATGAGAACCATGGGACCATGATTTTGCCAATTACATTGCTTTTATGGACAGCTACAATGAAAACACACACCAAAGGGTGTATAGCGTTACCTTAAGTTATTTATGGCAATAAACAATTGAATACACATTGCCACATAAGCATCAAAGGCTATATTTATGACAATAAAGACTTAAATATTAATTACTATAAAATCACACACATCGGAGGTTCGTATAGTGTTACCTGAAACTCTTGGTAGCCAGACTGAATGCGTTTTGGAAGAGGCTGAATTGCACTTTGCATCTCTTGAGGTATTTCCATCTGAGTCACATCCTGTAAAAAAAAGACACACAAAAGAGGCTTAATAAACTATGTCCATTTGGTAACTATCTCCAAAAGTCATTCATACCTTTTCCTTCAGGTAACGGAGGACGAGCAGGTGGAATTTAAAAAGCAAACTCAAGGTCAGGGATCTGCGGAAATCCACCTTCCCGCCTGGAGCCGACGGCCCAAGTTTGATCTCATCAACCAGCGCGCTGTACGCATCACTTAACGTTGCCTCCTCCCAAGGCCTTGCAAAAAAAAACAGTGCAAAGTCTTTTTATGCTTTTTTACATTTTCAATCTTCTTTAGTTTGTAATTACGTTGCTGTTTGAGCATGAAGAAGGTCCGCAAATTGAAGTCACTTCAAACAGAGTTATTCTCTATATCAGTGCGCACCGTTTCTGAACTCCCTTAAATGCCTTGATTGTCACAATATTTCTCATTTAAATAATTCCCGCCCAAGGCCTAAGTTTCTGCCTAAGTCCAGCGCCGTGGCTACACATTGTCATGTTGTAAATAAGAATAAAAAAACAGTTGTTGCTGTTATTGGCGTATACCTACCAACGCAATGGCATTGCCATTGAAACCAATGCAGGTATTCCGTAAACGAAAGAGTGGCAAGGGACACACAAATCGGATCTCAACAGTTGCGATTCACAATGTGGACATTCAATAATTTTATATCGGATTCAAATCGGATGAACAAAAAATGTGAACTTAGGCCCTGTCCACACTACTGCGTTTTCGTTTAAAAACGGAGACCTTTTGCTACGTTTGCACCTCCCGTCCAGACTAAAACGGAAAAAACGAAGACCTAAAACGGAGAAGTTTAGAAACGCCGCAGCTCCGTTTTGCGTTTTGAATCTCCGGAGGGCGTTTTAGTGAAGCGGAGGACTTTAGAAACGATGACGCAGAGGCTCACGCTCGGCTCCTCCCTGATTCGTCAGCCACCCATCACATGTCAATCCGTTTCCTGTTTACACCGGCACGCGCATGCCCAGTGTTGGTGAATGGTCACGTGATCCGCGGTTTCAGGCGTTTTAATGTGGACAGAGATCAATTCTAATACGCAGATAAAACGCTGGTGTGGACGGAGATCGTATTCGTTTTAATTCTCCGTTTTTAAACGAAAACGCAGTAGTGTGGATGGGGCCTTAGTCCCATCCAAGAGGAAATGCAGCTCAAAAAGATGTACATTTGTGTCCTACCTTCCTAGAATCTGTTTGCACACGTGGTCAGCGCTGAGGATGGTGGCTCCCACACCACCGTAATAAATACTGATCTCCTTCACTACATTTGAGTTCTCGTTGAACCAAACGCGCATCCCAGCGTTCACCGTAGCTAGCGCGTTCTCCTTACGCGGGGCGTGTCGGAAGGCATAGATGATCTCATTCTGCCAAAAAAAAAGATGCTTTAGCAAACAATGCGCAAAAAGCTAGTCGATGGTTCATTTCTTACCTGTCTTGTAGCTGGAATGAAAACGGACAACACAATCTCGTCTGGCTTTAGAGCAGTCTTTGCAAATCCCAGGAAAAAATCTTTATCGATAAGCACCCTCCTTCGTCCATCTGTAATCGATATTTGGTAGAAATTGAGACACGTCAAAATATCCTCCTTGAGGAACATAACTACTTTCAGAATGAATGCAAAATGTGAAATTTTTGTGTTGTGAAATATTAGATATCTAGAAATGATTCAAACAAAATTAAACTTGTTTACACTTTTTTTCGATAGTCCGCATTAGACATTCTACTAACTATAACTTTGCAACTACATGTTAGATTAGGGTTAGCTGTTAGTAGAATAAGTTGACATGTACTTAGTTGCAAAGTTACTTATAGTCCGTCGAATGTCTTTTGGCGGCAAGCAGGGCAGGGCAGGTCCAACTCGACCCGCTCCGAGTGGGATTCAAACCGGTATCTTCGGCATGGGAGGCGGGCGTGCTAACAAGCACGCTAAAGATCGCAGTCTCTAGTGCCCCTTTTGAGGCCAAGGGAGTGAGGTTTACTCGCTAAGCTCTTACCCTCCGCTACACTCACCCCCTAAACCTCACTCCCATCCGGGTCATGGCACCAAATGTAACCAGTCTTACAGAGCGGGTTTCAAACCGGTGTCTCCGGCATGGGAGACGGGCTCGCTAACAAGGACGCTAAAGACCACAGCCTCTATCGTCAATTGCTAGTGCGCCTCTTGAGGCTAAGTGAGTGAGGTTTAAACACACAGCTCTTACTAGCTGGCCTCCGTTACACTAGTGTTAATGAGCGCCACATCAGTTTTGAGTCCAATGGAGGAGCTCTGGTAGGACAAAAGGACTAGGACTTATTAGTATTTATATATACTAATAATTTTGTATATATAAATACACACACATGCATGTATATATTTAAGAAATATTTGCATGTATATATTTTATATATATTTATACATAATTAATATTATATATAAATATAAATATGTTATATATTAATAACACATTTTTCTTAAATATATACATGCATGTGTGTGTATTTATATATACAAAATAATTATACACACTACACACACATATATTATGTAAACACAAACTTTTATTTTGGATGCGATTAATCGCGATTAATCGTTTGACAGCCCTATTTATTTTATTATAAAAGTTATGTTAAACGTTCACTGGTTCGCACCTCCTTCTTCCCTGAGCCTTTAGACTTTAGCGGACCATCAGAATAAAGTGATAGCAGATATTAAGCAGTCTACTAATACTCTAATGATTGGTAGTTGACATGTAGTTGCAAAGTTACTTATAGTAAGAAGAATGTCTAAAGTGGACTATTGAAAAGTGGACTTTTAAATTATTTAAGAAGTTGGCTCACCTTTAGAAAGTGCCACTAAAGTGCATCTCCCAGCAGCTAAGACGGGGGTCAGGTCGGAGTTTGGATATGCGCTTGCAATATTGCCGCCCAGTGTCTACATATTTCAAGAAACAAAATAATAAATAATATAAACACACACACACACACAAACACACAAAAACTATTAAAATAGCTCATTTTTGATGCCGTACTTCAACATTCAAATAAGTTGAAGAACTAAAATGATTAAAAATAAAACTAGAAATGACAAAAACCAGACAAAATTAATAAAACTTAAATTAAAATAAAAACTGAAAATATAAAAATAAAAGCCATTTCAAAATAGTAATAAATACTATAATAGTATATAATTAATACTAAAATAACTTGTTGATTCTCCCTTAATTTGGCGATTCAGTGCTCAAATATTAAAATTCTAAAATGATTTAAAAAATAATAAAGTATTATGCTTTATTTATTGTTGATTTTACCTTAAATATATTTATGATACCATTTTAAATATTAGTTTAGTAGTTTAAATGAGGCCAGAATGAGGTTTTGGACCAGATCATAAGAGACTGAGAAATATTTGTGAGTGTAGCAAGAGTGACGTTGTGCATTCAGGGTCTGTTTACACTTACAGCCACGTTTCGGATCTGCTGTCCGCCCACAAGGTTTATCTGCAGCAGAAGAGCCCGAAACAAGTGTGTGTTCTCCGGCGGGAAACCATTTATACTTCTCTCCAGCACACTTTTCAAAACAGACATACTGCACCCTGCTCCAACACACACACCTACAAATACAAAGCATTCATTAATGCTACTTAAAGTATTTTTTGTTGTTGTTGTTTAAATACATTCTTAACCCGGTTTATTGCTCATTGACTACTATTATTATGCCATTCATGGGTTTATCTACCCCAAAAGTGTAAACACTGAGCCTCCCAGGCATCATAGAAACATTGAGGGCGCTCTGCTCAGATCTGTCAATCTCTTTCCACCTTAACCTAATCTAAAACGCAGTAGGCTGGTTAGGAAACCTTATTGTAAAGTGTTATCAAATAAAACTAACTGGAATAAGGTTAAGTTGAAGTACTAAAACACACATACCCTCTGATCTCTGGGTAACTTTGAATAGTTCTGGCACTCGTGTTGGTGATATTAATACAGGATGGAAGATACCCTTGAACTTCATGTCCAGACCTAAATAGAATAGAATAGAATAGAATAGAATAGAATAGAATAGAATAGAATAGAATAGGGGAAATGTCATAGTGACCTGAAAATGCTGAAATAGCACACAAAAATACATTAGAGTTTATTAGGTTTGGCCACGATTTGCCCATATGAAACCTATGTTGGTGTTGCCCATGACAAGAGGGGCTTGTGGGTAATCAGCCTTCAGCTGGAGCAGCTCATCTAGAGATCCAGGGCAGATCCAGGTCATTCTTTCCCCACAAAACTTCTGAGTGGTTTGGTCCTTAATCTCTGCCATTCTCTAAACACAAAATAGACTGTGAATTTATGGCATAGCTTTTTTTAAATGTGTTGTTTAGTTGATAACAGCATTTGAACTTCTGACAGACTAAAATCAACTGAATAATAAACTAGAGCTGAATGGCGACCTTGTTACAGCTTAAACATTAAGCTTAGGTTTTATCTAAAACCTCTTAGTCATAGTTACATAACCTACTCTAGTGAAGACAAATGGAGTTTTGAACAAGTCTGACAAACCATGAGTTCAGGGGGAAAGATCAGATCCTGGGTGGGGTCGAAGGGGAGCAGGTCCTCTTTACGAAAGAGTTCTGGATGACCCTATTAAACACAAAAATAACTATTACATCATTCAATCCACTGAGCGCCAGTGTTATTTTTTCTACAATAGGTTTAAATGCATCCAAGGTCAAAAAACACTTAAATTTTCTCACTTCTTTTCTCAGCTTGTCTAAAACGGATCGATAAAGGATTTGGTCTCTTTAAACCCCTCCTTTCCGGGAGCATACTCTGCTCTGGTTGGTCAGATGGCTCAATATGCTGTTATTGGTCTACTCTGTTCTGATTGGTCAGATGGCTCAATCTGGGGCACATTCAAGTTCAAAACGGTGCGCAACGTTTTGCTACGGTTTCCGGGTTGAACGTCATGTTTCCTGGAAACGGCGTGCACCGGTGTGCAACGGGGTTTGAGATGCGTTTTCTCTTGTTTGGTGGGTGTGTCAGAACTGCAGTCCAATCAGCAGCAACATGTACACTCACCGGCCACTTTATTAGGTACCCCATGCTAGTAACGGGTTGGACCCCCTTTTGCCTTCAGAACTGCCTCAATTCTTCGTGGCATAGATTCAACAAGGTGCTGGAAGAATTCCTCAGGGAGTTTGGTCCATATTGACATGATGGCATCACACAGTTGCCGCAGATTTGTCGGCTGCACATCCATGATGCGAATCTCCCGTTCCACCACATCCCAAAGATGCTCTATTGGGTTGAGATCTGGTGACTGTGGAGGCCATTTTAGTACAGTGAACTCATTGTCATGTTCAAGAAACCAATTTGAAATGATTAGAGCTTTGTGACATGGTGGAAGTAGCCATCAGAGGATGGGTACATGGTGGCCATAAAGGGATGGACATGGTCAGAAACAATGCTCAGGTAGGCCGTGGCATTTAAACGATGCCCAATTGGCACTAAGGGGCCTAAAGTGTGCCAGGAAAACATCCCCCACACCATTACACCACCACCACCAGCCTGCACAGTGGTAACAAGGCATGATGGTTCCATGTTCTCATTCTGTTTACGCCAAATTCTGACTCTAACATCTGAATGTCTCAACAGAAATCGAGACTCATCAGACCAGGCAACATTTTTCCAGTCTTCAACTGTTCAATTTTGGTGAGCTCTTGCAAATTGTAGCCTCTTTTTCCTATTTGTAGTGGAGATGAGTGGTACCCGGTGGAGTCTTCTGCTGTTGTAGCCCATCCGCCTCAAGGTTGTGCGTGTTGTGGCTTCACAAATGCTTTGCTGCATACCTCGGTTGTAACGAGTGGTTATTTCAGTCACTGTTGCCCTTCTATCAGCTCGAACCAGTCTGGCCATTCTCCTCTGACCTCTGGCATCAACAAGGCATTTCCGCCCACAGAACTGCCGCTCACTGGATGTTTTTTCTTTTTCGGACCATTCTCTGTAAACCCTAGAGATGGTTGTGCGTGAAAATCCCAGTAGATTAGCAGTTTCTGAAATACTCAGACCAGCCCTTCTGGCACCAACAATCATGCCACGTTCAAAGTCACTCAAATCAACTTTCTTCCCCATACTGATGCTCGGTTTGAACTACAGGAGATTGTCTTGACCATGTCTACATGCCTAAATGCACTGAGTTGCCGCCATGTGATTGGCTGCTTAGAAATTAAGTGTTAACGAGCAGTTGGACAGGTGTACCTAATAAAGTGGCCGGTGAGTGTATATAACGCACGCTGTATTAAAGTAAACTCGCACAATGGGTTCAAGGAAAGTTATTTACAAATGTGTTCGATGCAGCTCGGTATACGCAACAACTGAGGGTATCAGAAGACATGTTTGTCGTAAGTTTTATGGTAAAAATATAGGATATCAACATAATGATGTACAGTAGTTGTTTATATTTTTAGCTTCATTGCAAGTGTATGACATTTGGTATAGAAATAAACAATGGTAATTAAGTGTTTTTCCTAAAAATGAGAAAGAAAATACAGGGTATTAAAACAGTATGAACTACAAATAAAGTCATTATGTGAGGCTATATAGATGTGTTTTAGTCTGAATTAGGTAAGATGTGTGCTTCCATTTCAGTTTCCACAAATCCCTTCACTCGACTGGGATGCTCTCTTGTGTTCTGGGCGGCAAGTGCAGTAACTGTAACATCGGGCATATTTTGTAGTATTAAACACATATTTATACCGACTTCATCAGGCTCCGAAAATTCTTCACAAAGAACACAAAGAATGGCCTTTCTCAGCTGCCATAGTTGCAACTCTTGCGTCATCAGAACAGTGCGTTCAACGCATCACCGTTTCTGTTTAAAAAACGTTGTGCAACGTTTTGTCGGCGCTGAACGCAGCCCTGTTATGATTGGTCTACTCTGCTCTGATTGGTCAGATGGCCCAGTCCGTTGTGATTGGTCTACTCTGATTGGTCAGATGGATCAGTCTGTTGTGATTGGTCTACTCTGCTCTGATTGGTCAGATGGCTCAATCTGTTGTGATTGGTCTACTCTGCTCTGATTGGTCAGATGACCCAGTCTGTTGTGATTGGTCTACTCTGCTCTGATTGGTCAGATGGCCCAGTTTGTTGTGATTGGTCTACTCTGCTCTGATTGGTCAGATGACCCAGTCTGTTGTGATTGGTCTACTCTGCTCTGATTGGTCAGGTGGCCCAGTCTGTTGTGATTGGTCTACTCTGCTCTGATTGGTCAGGTGGCCCAGTCTGTTGTGATTGGTCTACCGGTTACAGTGCGTGTCGGAAACTACATTGCCGTATCTGAATTTCAGCTCCAGAGCTCCCTCAGCACTGGATACACAGTAATATGAACAATAACGATGGTGTCGGTTTTACCTTATTAACCCTTTAATCCCAAATTTTTCCCAGACAAAAAAATATCCAAATCATGTGTCATTAGTATCCCTTTGAAACAATCAATCATAATTTTTTTTAATTTTCTTGGAAAAGTGTGTGAAAAAGTGAGTTTTATGATCGGTCACAATTGTGACCGGTGGGATAATGTGTTGTATCAACCATTGGACAGAATGAATATAGGTCTATAGGACCTGTGCAGTGTGTTTGTGTGTGCATGTGCATGTGTGTGTGCGTGTGCGTGTGTGTGTGTGTGTGTGTGTGTGCGCGTGTGTGTGCATGTGTATGTGTGTATGTGTGTGGGGTTTGTGGTGTGCATGTGGGGTTTGTGGTGTGCGTGCGTGCGTGTGGGGTGTGTGGTGTGTGTGTGTGGGGGGGGTGTCTGGTGTGTGTGTGTGGTGTGGGGTGTGTGTGGTGTGGGGTTTGTGGTGTGTGTGGGATGTGTGGTGTGTGTGTGGGGGGTGTGGTGTGTGTGGGGGGTGTGGTTTGTGTGTGGGGTCTGTGGTGTGGTGTGCGTGGGGTTTGTGGTGTGCGTGCGTGTGGGGTGTGCGGTGTGTGTGTGTGTGGGGTGTCTGGTTTGTGTGTGAGGGGTGTGCGTGTGTGTGGGGTGTGTGGTGTGTGTGTGGGGTGTGTGGTGTGTGTGTGTGGGGTGTGTGGGGTGCGTGGGGTGTCTGGTGTCCGTGGGGTCTGTGGTGTGTCGTGTGCGGTGTGTGTGTGTGGGGTGTCTGGTGTGTGTGTGTGTGGGGTCTGTGGTGTGTGGTGTGCGTGTGTGTGGGGTCTGTGGTGTGTGGTGTGCATGCGTGTGGGGTGTGCGGTGTGTGTGTGTGGGGTCTGTGGTGTGTGGTGTGCGTGTGTGTGGGGTCTGTGGTGTGTGGTGTGCATGCGTGTGGGGTGTGCGGTGTGTGTGTGGGGGGGGTGTGCGTGTGTGTGGGATGTGTGGTGTGTGTGTGGGGGGTGTGGTGTGTGTGTGAGGTGTGTGGTTTGTGTGTGGGGTCTGTGGTGTGGTGTGCGTGGGGTTTGTGGTGTGTGTGCGTGTGGGGTGTGCGGTGTGTGTGTGTGGGGTGTCTGGTTTGTGTGTGTGGGGGGTGTGCGTGTGTGTGTGGGGTGTGTGGTGTGTGTGTGGGGTGTGTGGTGCGTGGGGTGTCTGGTGTCCGTGGGGTCTGTGGTGTGTGGTGTGCGTGCGTGTGCGGTGTGTGTGTGTGGGGTGTCTGGTGTGTGTGTGTGTGTGTGTGGGGTGTCTGGTGTGTGTGTGTGGGGGGTGTGCGTGTGTGTGGGATGTGTGGTGTGTGTGTGGGGGGTGTGGTGTGTGTGTGGGGTGTGTGGTTTGTGTGTGGGGTCTGTGGTGTGGTGTGCGTGGGGTTTGTGGTGTGCGTGCGTGTGGGGTGTGCGGTGTGTGTGTGTGTGTGTGTGTGGGGTGTCTGCTTTGTGTGTGTGGGGGGTGTGCGTGTGTGTGTGGGGTGTTTGTGCTGTGTGTGTGGGGTGTGTGGTGTGTGTGTGGGGTGTGTGGTGCGTGGGGTGTCTGGTGTCCGTGGGGTCTGTGGTGTGCGGTGTGCGTGCGTGTGCGTGTGCGGTGTGTGTGTGTGGGGTGTCTGGTGTGTGTGTGTGTGTGTGGGGTGTGCGTGTGTGTGGGGTGTGTGGTGTGTGGTGTGTGTGTGGGGTGTGTGGTGCGCGTGTGTGTGGGGTGCGTGTGTGTGGGGTGCGTGTGTGTGGGGTGCGTGTGTGTGGGGTGCGTGTGTGTGGGGTGCGTGTGGGGTGCGTGTGGGGTGCGTGTGGGTTGTGTGGTGTGTGTGTGTGTGTGTGTGTGTGTGTGTGTGTGTGTGTGTGTGTGTGTGTGTGTGTGTGTGTGTGTGTAAAATTAGGTAGAAAGTTAGGTAGCAGCAGAAAGTAAGGTAGAACAGTTAGCCTATGTGTATTAGCATGTAGATACAATGGGTTATCCCACCGGTCACTATTGTTGCTGGTGACATGTTTGTAGGTTCTATGACCACATTAAACAAAGTTGAGTAATTGCAAATGCATATATCAATACTAGACACCTTAAACATGATGTGTACCAAAAATCTAAGTCCTATCTTTATGTTAACATGCTTTACTGATCTTTTCTTTGGGAGCTTTCTTGCTGCCATCCTCTTCTCTTGGCACAAACAGGAAATAAAACAGCTCTGGTCATGTGACAATTTACAGTAAACATGTGACACTGCACATATTTCATTGAGACCCTTTATTATTTCAATATCTGTTGGAAATGCACTGATAGATCATTCAGTAACATTTTTATAGCCTTAGAAATGAAACATTTTTTTACGGTCACTATTGTGACCGGTGGGATTAAATGGGTTAATTTGAGCTCTAGTCCTCATCCTTGGAATTGCATACAAAGTAGATTTTCTTTCACAGTGCTGAAAATACATGTCGGTAACACAAACCAAACTCTTCAAGGCCTCGGGTACAGTGTTTGAGGGTGGAGCAAAGTAGATGTTGCTCGCTGGCAGCCAATGAAGACCATAGGCTGAAATTATGCATATTTTGTGTGTGTGTGTTTGTTTTTGCTGCAACTAAAAAGTTAAAGTGCCGCAGTACAATAAAATAGGACAAAAGTGAGTGCAATAAATGTACTAATTTAACTCTGGTCAAGATGAAGATACTCACATTCTCTATGGGCTCCACGGATCCATTTCCATTGGCCAAACTGCATGCAGTGCCATTCAACTGACAACAGTTTTCACTCTACAAAAATAACAGAAAGAGTTTCATGTTATTTTATGCTATGCATAATGCAACACACAAATGTCAGTTAAACCTCAAGTGAAAACAAAAAAAACAAAAAACAGAAAAGCGTTTAAATGACTGTCACATTGTAAAAGTCACATTTTAATTGATGAAGAACATGCAGTTACCAGATTGTGTATCACTAAATGTCAACCATAGACTAAGATGTTTAAAAAAAGAAATAAAAAGAAAAAAAATTGCATCAAAATATGTGGAGTCATAATGGGTCGCTTTCAGATGAATCAAGAATATTAGACATGGATGGCCAGCTCAGAACAAATCCATAAAGGATCTGGAATGTCAAGTAACATGAGTGCCACATGATTCAGCAGCTGAAACGAATCAAATAAAGGATGAATCTGGCCGCCGGCGCTGTTCACCTCACAGAAGGTTCTGTAGCCATCAACGATTGGGCGGTACCCTGTGCACCTGCATAAATTACCTGCAATAGGAACATTCATGATTGGTCAAAGTGTTCTTAAGGTTTTTGTAGATTTAAAATCATGTTTGTGTCACTGTACCAGCCAGACCCTCCGTTACATCTTCCAAAGTTGGCTGTGGGTTGTTTCTCAGTAATGCATACATGGACATCACCATCCCAGGAGTACAGAACCCACACTGAGACCCATGAGCCTTTGCTATACGCTCCTGATGAACAGAACACACATACTGTCAATGATGTGCTAAAGTGTCCATGTTGACTATATACCCTGTATATAAATATTACATGAATTAATTTGTATTAATTGAAGTAATACATATTTGTCTACATATTAAAAATGGTAAATATGATCAAAGATGGTTGTAAAAAATAAATCTGCATTGTTAATCCTTTTGAAATGTTATTTTAAAAATCTAACCTTTCATGTGTTTTGGAGAAAAACATTTATTTCATAATGTGATTTTCCCCCCACTTTAAATTATTTTACTTCAATAAAAGGTTCGATTTTTCGTAGGTATGTTACAAGAATTAAGACTAGAATTACTGACGACTTGTTTCGGCAGTTGAGAATCGGCTTTTGTGAGACAATAACTCTTTTATCTGCACTTTGATTCTTAAAACACATATTTATATGTGTGTGTGTGTGTGTGTGTGTGTGTGTGTGTGTGTGTGTGTGTGTGTGTGTGTGTGTGTGTGTGTGTGTGTTTTACTGCAACTAAAAAGACAAAGTGCAGCAGTACAATAAAATAGGACAAAAGTGAGTGCAATAAGTTTTCTAAATTAACCCTGGTCAAGTTGATACTCACATTCTCTATGGGCTCTACGGATTATATATATATATATATATATATTATATATATATATATATATATATATATATATATTACTTATTTACCTTAATTTATATTTATTACTCTTTATTATACTAGTTTAATTATAATCAATTAAGAGCAAAAAAATATATATTTTTTTTTAAATCATTAAATGCAATATAAATAGCATTTTAATGTTTTTAATTTATTTTTTATTAATAGATGAGGAAAAAATAGGCGTCATGCCACTGACCCAAATACAAACTAGGAGGAAAATCAAGTTATGATCAGATGATATATCAACTATCTGCAATTTAATCTCATAATCAGGACTGAGTGTAATCTATATTCAAAAATGATATTTGAACTGGCAGTAATCTAATACATTACCCTGGATTATAATCTGTCTGCATAATAATTTCCTGATCTGGATCTCATAATCTGGATTGAGCAAGTATAGATTATAATGTGAATCCGATACCTGGACCGGGTGTAGTTTGGTTTTGGTGCTTCCGATGCCTTCGACGGTCATCACTGCCGCTCCATGAAGTTGGCACACAGGAAGCAGGCAAGCATTCACCGACGAATGACTGGCCAGTGAAAAAAAAAATTGCTTCTTACATGCATTCGGAAGTGATTTATTATGATATCTGAGTAACAAAAACTAATATATATCTAAAAGCATACAAATACTAGCAGCAGGGCTATCTTCCTTGAGAAATCTGACTAAAAACACAGCCTAGAATTTGAGTTTGAATCTTGATTTACAAGTGTGAAAAGTGGGATAAAAAGATATGGAAGTAAAATAATGGCAAATGTTTTTGAAACAAAAAAGCTTGTTGAATTGCACTACTTGAAAAAAATATGCATTACATTAACCCTGCTTGCATTTTGCATTGTATTTTTAGGGCTTGCATTTTTATGGGCTGAAATTCAACTTGTGTATTTAAGCTGTGAATTTTTCAATTCAAAACATTTCACACGTTTTCATTTTTAAAAATTCAATAATCCATATTCACCTTTCAGATTTCACTTCCAAAATATTCATTCTGTTTAAAAATACAACCTATAATATTCGACAGGCAATTTTCGGTCCATTTTATTTCGCTTTACAAATTCGCTTCCTCAAATTCAGTGGTTCAAAGTAGACAAAAAAATGCAACATTTGACATCCGGGAACGGCAGGAATATCAGTGGATTGCCGATTGATAATCTCCATAGCTGTTAGTCGACCTCACCAGCAGGGAGTGCAAGCGGCTGTTGACGAAGAAAACTATAGAGCAACGGGTGAGAGACTCATTCATTCATAAAAACGGATTTACAGAAATGGAGCAAGCGGTAAGTATTTGTGATGATGATGATCAGGACCAGTATAGCTATTGAAAAGCTGATAAAGACACAAAAGCTGTGTTTACATTTAAAGGGATAGTTCACTTTGAAATTAATTTTTGGTATGTTTTAGCTTACCTCAAGGGCATCCAAGATGTAGGTGTCTTTGTTTCCACAGTAGTTTCAATTTTGATATTTTTAGGTCAAACTATTCTTGTCTGTCAGTCATATAATGCAGGTCTATGGCCACCAGCTCAAAGAGCATGCACAGAGAAGTCCAAATTAAACATGATTTAATGACTCGTAAATGTAAGTACACATTGATGGCCTAAGGCACGAAACGAGCTGTTTGTGTGAGAAAACTAACAGTATTTCTATCGTTTTAGCTCTTATAACCACAGCAACGTCCAAGTGATCTGAGGGCGCGGGCGCTTCGGTCTGCGCAAGCGCCGGAAGTGATCTCTCGCGCGTGTACGTCACTCATTGTTTACACAGAGATTTCGGAAGTGTTACCTTTCACTGTAAAGATCTAAACATATTTAGATAGGAAGTCGCAATGGAAGACGATTTTGATATATCAACAGACAGCGTTGAATTTTTTTCGCAACTGCGCGAGAGATCACTTCCGACGCTTTCCGGCGCTTGCGCAGACCGAAGCGCCCGCGCCCTCAGATCACTTGGACGTGGCTGTGGTTATAAGAGGTAAAAACGATAGAAATACTGTTCGTTTTCTCACACAAACCGCTCGTTTCGTGTCTTAGGCCATCAATGTGTACTTTACATTTACGAGTCATTAAATCATGTTTAATTTGGACTTCTCTGTGCATGCTCTTTGAGGTGGTGACCATAGACCTGCATTATATGACTGACAGACAAGAACGGTTTGACCTAAAAATATCAAAATTGAAACTACTGCGGAAACAAAGACACCTACATCTTGGATGCCCTTGAGGTAAGCTAAAACATTCCAAAAATTAATTTCAAAGTGAACTATCCCTTTAAGTCTTTACAGTTAGTTTTGCACATGTAAGCAGCTTTCTCTACTGTAAAATGGATTATAATGTTATTCCCCAATTCTGATGTACAGATAAAACGTTTAATCTGAGGTAGTAGACATATATTTCTCTCGGTTGTTTAGTTTTCTTAACTTTATATTGCGACGCTGTGCTGCAGAACTGTGGATTCCCTCAATGTGTCATTATTTTACTTCCATAATATGAGTAGTATCATGGGTCAGACCCATTAATAAAACAGTGTGATGAAAAGAAAAAAAGTAGAGAGAGAGTGAATGAAATACTTGATGCTCTTGGTCTGAGGGTCGTATCTGGACACCATGACGGTACAGGCTCCACATCCTCCTCCACCACAGCTGTACTTACTGCCCGTTAACCGCACTGAACACACACACACACACACACACACACACAGTGTAAAACTAATACAGTTAAAATAAGTCAATAATATTCAGAATTGCCGATTAATCTCCTCTAAAAATTATCCACGGTATCACTTCAAAATTAACATCAACAAACCTTATTATGTTACATAAATATGACTTATAATATAAATAATGATAGATAGATAGATAGATAGATAGATAGATAGATAGATAGATAGATAGATAGATAGATAGATAGATAGATAGATAGATAGATAGATAGATAGATAGATAGATAGATAGATAGATAGACAGACATGTCAGGAACGTTTATGTTATAATAAATAATATTAACATTAATACTAATAACAATGTTTTAGTTTTTATATACTTCCAATTCAAAATTCAAAATTTTAGTGCTTCAACTTAAACTCAAAAGGCAACAATTCTAGTTTTCGTTTAGTTTAAGTTTTTCAATAATAACAATAATAATATGCGCATTTATTAAAACGTGTAAACATACATTTCTGCCTCAGATAAGACAGCAACATAGTCTCGGGGTCTGGGTTCTTCTCCATTATCTGTCAACAAGAAGCAAACATATGCAGAGCATTCAATTCATGCAGATTACTATTATTTTAAATATCTTTAAACAGATTCTAATCACAGTCTCTGTTCAAATTAGATTCAATAGTATTATTACAAGGATTGAATTTGACAACAGGTTCACAACCAAACAAGTCTTTACAGTTTGACAGCCTTATTTACAATTTAACATGACCAGAAATTCTGGGTAAACAAAAAATTACGTTGGTTATGCATAAGCAATCACCTTTTTCCCGTTGACATAGAAAATCAAGCCATCGTTCCTTTGTTCAGCCATTTCCTCAAAGATTATGCACAAATCAAACAAACTGCAGCAGATCTGCGGACTGTGTCTCCAACAGGGTGAATGCAAGAGTCGCTCGAGTTTTCTGCAAACTGCAGTGTAGAAACAGAAAAGTACTAGAGGTTAGCAAAGGCGGAGCTTATCTGATGGAAGTTATTAAGTTATCCTTTCTGTTATTAAATACGATGAGTTTAAATAATAATTATCATGTTTAAACTCTTATTTGTGTATTATTGTAATTCAATGATATTAAGGTGTCCCAGTCTACTTGTACGCCACTGTTACTTTTCTCAGCGCTGACTGGTTGAACCAATAACCGCAGTTTGTGATTACTGAATAAGTGTTTTAACAAGAATTTTATGGAGACTGCTTACATTACTGGTTTTGTTTACATATCAGGTAACAATTTGTAAAGTTAGTGGATTAAAACGATGACGTTTTAGTACAAAAATAAATACAATAAGAAAAAACCCGTTTGCGAACTCAAAACGCTTCGTTATAACCTACGCACTTTTCAGAGTTTTTACTTTCTCTGTCCCTGAATTTCTGTTTTATTTTGGTTTTGCCTTATTTGAACTGGTTTTAAAAGTGTACGACAGACAAATTGCAGTAGTTGGCAGTTTTTTCATTTTATTTGTGTATATTTACCACCAGATGGCGCCAGAGGCATACATGTAGGTATTTCATCTGAACACGAGATGGCGCCAGACGCCAATGCGTAATTAACATATCTGACCACAAAGTGTCGATAGAAACAAAAAATAAAAGCACTAAATAAGAAAAAAAAAAAAGTATCACCTCCAGAATCATCCATACATTAAACAAAAGAGACTGATACAATGTTTTCAATGTGGATTTTTTTTAGTTCATCAGAAATGTTCCTGATTTGTGCAAAAACACAATAGTTACACATATTCACAGCAGTTTCCCCTCAGGACTATAGACAGAAATGTATTTTCACTGCTAATAAGTTTCTAAGAGCTGAAAAACATGTCAATAAATTGTGTCTTGTGTTGCTGAAATAGAAAAAAACACACAGAGAAACCCTGCTGCGACCCCCTGTGAAGTGTGATCAGGGAACCCCTACAGAGATTATAGCAAGTTAAAACCCAACAGTCAGAAATCTCTCCCCACAGGCGTTTTAGGATTAGCTAACACGCTAACGCACATACAAAACATGCACATATGCACTTACGAGCAAGAGACCACACTGAGAAAAACATCAATAAACTTAACCACTTAACACACAAAGGTGTTGAATGCAAAATTGCAGTAGTCAGACACATGCAGTTTGCAGTTTAAACACTAGAGGACGCTCATGAGTGAAGGTCCACACCATATAGACTGTAAAAAAGGTCCACAGTCACACCCATAGGCTATATCGCCAACTGTCCATAAATCTCACAAAAAAACAGCTGTTCTGTTTGGCCTTTGTGTTTCCTCATATTTATACTCTTGTGAAACAAGAAGTCATGGTTGGACGATTTCATTTTCCTAGTCACCCTGATGTACTAAAAAAAAAAAAGTAAAAATGAATGGGAAGATATACTCACCCTCAAATTGTTCCAAACCTGTATGAATTTCTTTCTTCATTTGAAGATAAAGGAGGATGTTTTGAAGAATACGAGTAACCAAACAGTTGATGGATCCCATTGACTTCCATAGTAAAATACTGTTTGGTTACCAACATTTCTCTTTAAAATATCTTCTTTTGTGTTCAGCAGAAGAAAGAAATTCATACAGGTTTGCAACAACTTGAGATATCATTAATTCAAGATTTTAAAGTAGTAATTTGAGAATGTATTCTGATTCAAGGGGAATCAGAATGCCAAATCCTGACTGGGCGAGAGGGGGAGCTGGGGATGGAGGAGGGTATAGCTCCTCTGAAACGCCATGCTGCTGATAATACTGAAGGAGCTTATATATGTATACCGTGATAAGCGTCATATAGGTAGACGTGGATCAGCTGAGAGAAGGCTGATGCGAGCTTGACTAACGTGACCTGCCAGAACTGACACTACACTTGATTTTTGGGTGTACTTTCACTTTAAGTGATATTTTACACATTTGAATGAATGAGTGAGTGTGTCGTATCAGTCCAAATCGGTTAATGAGTAGGTCTGTATTAAGGCATTGACTTCAGCTGGTGAATTTTGAAGGACAGTGGCAAAGGTTAAGCTAGACGCAAGGTTAAACATTGCGAATCATGGTAATGGAATGTTTACTTTCACTCGACCAAGAGTCTTCGATTTCTAGCCATTCATGGCAAATGGCTCTCACTTCAGGAACTTTAACTAGCTCAGACCTTTAGCAGCTTCACAACGCCACCTCGCTTATATAGGTCTCTGAATCAGTGCCCCAAGTAGCAACAGTTTTAACTTAATTATATTTTCAACAAGGTCTGTTTTAATGACACATTACACAGTCAATTCAGTGTACAGAGTTAAGCAAGCAGAAAACAACTAAGCTAACAATGTACATTTTCGGAAATCATAAATAAAAATGTCATAAAGTGCTATTTCAGTACAAACATCTGATAAGCATCTTTAAAAGAACAGATAGCTAAACACCACAAAAACATCTGCTGAAAGTCTTTTTAACATTCATCAGCAAACATTTTAGAAACAGTAATGAGTAGCCAACTACAAGTTTCAAGTAGCTTACTCACCTCTGCTGGTTATGCATGTTAAATGCAATGAGGTTCATAATACTTGAAATAAGCTAAGGTTGATTTTGAATCTGCCATCTTTGCTCATGGCAGTATAAATCATTTTGAACCAATCACCGGAGCTGTAAAAGCCATGTGACTGATCCATATAGAATTATATAGATCAGTGGACTGATCATTCTGATGCCTCTGGAAATAATGACACCAGTGAACGACTGATGGAATCAGGCACTGGTAAAACATCTACTTTAATACATCAAAATATTTGTGATTCATATATTGCATGCAAAAAAAAATATTTTTGTCAGAATACATGCCTCATTTTGAATGTCTGACTGTGGAGAAAGATGCTAATCATGCTAAAGCTAACCAGCAAAACATTGGCCTACTGGGCCTCTTGTATGTCATCTATACATCCTTTTGCATGTAAGTTGTCCTATTAAACTGAATGCTTAAACATAGTTTTACAAACTATTTACACAGATTTTACACAGACACAAATTGTGTTTATGTTTTTTGAATGTGGCCTGAATATTGCAAAAATACATTTCTTAATCATTTTTTTTGTCGTTTTATGTTTTATGTTTATCGTCCATTATTATAAGGTAAAAATATTTTTATAAGAGAAATTCACTTAAAAAGCTAAATTGTTTAAGAAAAAAATATAGAAAATATTTCAATTTAAACAACCTGCTATCAGATTGTTTTTAAGTTTACACTTAAATTAAAAACTTTATATATACATACAACTGAAATGTAGTTTTATTCTCATATGCATTTTGCCTGTCAAGCAATAAAACTTGTTTTCCAGCAAAAAAAAATAAAAAAAATAATTGAATGTAAAAAAGACAAAACTGAACATTTAAGAATTGTATTTGTGTTGAGCCATATTTTAATCTACAGACACTTTGGAGAGGATATATAGATAGGTTTACATTTCTCTTCAGAGTTCAAATCCATATTTGGTCACTGATATGTTTGTAGGTGTATGGTGTTAAATGTGTTCATGAACTGTTCCTCCTCTCTTTGATTTTCTCCATCCCATCCCCCACTTCTATGAAAAGAAAGACACATCTGCTTTCCATCACACCTTTACAACCGTGACTCCCTCTCTCTTTTGTTTTGTCTCATACTTCTTTCATCTCTATCCAGTTTCTTCACTCACTATCTTCCTTACCTTTTGCTCTTTGTTCATGATATTTCCTATAATCTCTTTCTACTTGACATGAACCAGTTAACTTTACAAGTTAACTGTAATTACAGGTATGGATTGGTTAACTGTGGTTAAGTAAGCGTGTGTGTGTGTGTGTTTGCTCAGGACTTGTAATCACAGACCAAAGCAGAGACGCTGACAGAAGCAAACTACTGTTCAGCTAGTCACAGTCTAGCATGTGACTTTTGTGAACACTGTTACAGTGGATTGATTCTGTCAATATAGAATTAAAATCTCCAACAGTCTTTTGATATGTAATTTAGTTAAAGAATGTACTGTTCCATCTGCCATTGTTTGGACAAACAAGTAGATCTTCTCCAAAAATCACGATTGGTTCGTGTTTGGTTATTTTTTTATTTTTCCGGCCCAGTCAGGATGTCAAACAGTTTGCCGTTCGTTTGGTAAACTGCACACTTTAACTTTAGTTATCTATGTTTTGCAGAAAACATTTTCAGCACATTCACAACCACATGCTTCAGTCCGTTATCCCAGATACAGCTGCCTATTAGTCATGATGGAGCGAAACAAAGAAGTTCTGTTTATAGGTTGATCGATTCGTCATGCAGGCGATTTGCTCTGCCGAAACATCCAACAAGAAAACCTTTTAATCAATATATACTCACACATAGTATAATTGGGAAAATATTATAGGTTTTATTAATATTTTGAATTACTTTTTATTTTTAATATATATATATACATATAATTTTTATTTTTATAAAATTTAGTTTATAATCATTTCTATTTTAGTTTGTTATTTCAGTACATCAAGTTAAACTAAATGAAAATCAGAAATGTTTTTGTATGTTTTTCAAAAATCTATTTTAATTTCAAATAAATTTTATTTTATTTCAAGTAACAAATGAGTTTCTTTGTGTATAAAAATTATTAAATGTATTATTGAACACTTTCGGTATAAAGGTGCATTCACATTCATGACGTAATTACCGTAATTATGAAATACAGCTTGCATTTCATGCGTTCACATCCTTGTAAAACTCGTAGCTTGTAAACTGGGACATTTCTGAGAGCTCCTACTTGTACCATGTGACCGCTGTACCACTTGACTGCTGCAGATTAATTTGGGCATTGATAATGTTGCCATAGAAATGCATAATTCCCAGTCGGAGGACATAAACAGTTTAGTGTGTTGTCATCATGAAATTACAGTAATTACAACATGGTCGTGAACGCAGTTTAAGATTAGATTAAATTAGTCATG